CCGATCTGAACATACAGATTAACTGTTTCCAGCATAGAACCTCTCCTACGCTAATTATGACTTAACAGCAGCTGGAACGGTAATTTGTCAGACAGAACAGGTCCTATTCTCCCTCTGTCGGGTCCCTCCAGAGACTGGGAACTCAGGTTCCCAGTGACTTTATCAGATAAATTAGGAAGAGCACCTCCGAACAGGTACAGGCATCGCAAGGTATTCTGTGGACCTTGAAAAGAGAAACACTCCCCTAAATCTGTAGGGCAGAATCTGAGACAAGCCCTTGGCGTGGCTTTCCTGGCCCTAGGGGCTGTTCAGCTTTCAGCCGAGACTCGCCGTTAAAAGTTCCAGCACAGCCAGCGTAGAAGAGCCTAAATGACCCACCAGGCTTGATCCGCAGGCGCACTGAGCTTGACTTGGCATACAGCCAATGGAAACATGAGCGTGGCCTCGGAGAGCAGGAGATTCTGTCTCAGTGGAGAGTAAACTCTACTTGTGTTAATGGAGGTCTGCTTTCACGGCCTGAGACGCTTCCCAGACAGGTCCTTGCTGCTTTGTCATATCATCGTAAGTTTAATTGAACTGTTAAAAAGACACTCTAAGCTTGTTTCTGAAGCTTATCCCAGAAACCTGTCTTTGAATGAAGATTCTGTGCCCTATGACCTGCAACCAGACTGGAAAAGACACAATTTGAGGACTGTCTCCAACCGAGACGGAAGGACTTTTGTCAGATACTCTTACTGGCTCCTGCACAATGGACCGAGGGCAGTCGGCTCCTGGGTTAGTGTTCCCACTCACAGAGGCCTCCGCGCCTCTGCTGTCATGAGGACCACTGACCTCAGAGTCACCCCAAACAAGGCTCAAGCGAAGGAGAAGCTCCCAGGCCAGGACGAGAAGAAGACGACATCTGAGGCAGAACACGGACCCGAGACACCGGGCCCGTCTGTGTACCAATGACTGTGATCACTGCTCACACCTTCCCTCATGAACTCAGTGCAGTTCACAGTCGCACACAGTTAGTTAACCCAACGGCTAGGCTTCTGGCCGAGTACCTGTGTGCAGCGCTCCCGGGCTGCCTTGGTGGGCTTCCCCGCTGCCAGTCTCTTAGACAGCCCTTAGCAAATTTATTCTAGAAGAAAGAAATGATGGTTCTTTTGGGGCCACTATTGCTGGTACTAGGTGGGACCCCTCACCTGGCCAGTAACACCTGCTCTGAGTCTGGCTACAAATATGGATTTTCTTAAAAGGTCACTCAAGCCCATTCAAGCCAACAAGCAAAATTACAGCCAAAGGACACGGCCGCCCAGGTATGGGGAGGACTCGCGTGGCCGGCGCCAGGCTGCGGGCATTCCAGCTGAAAGGGCCCTGAAGCTGCGAAAAGACAACCACCCTAACAGCACCAGGAAGTCTGGCTCCGAGCCTTCCGAGCGACGCCCGTGTGATGTCTGCCTTA